TTAAGGATTGTCATTAAAAATATCAAGAAACATAACAAATGAGAAAATCACAAACATCAGAGAAAAATTACAATATAGAAAAAAATACTTTGAATAAATTGCACAGGGACCAAAAAGGAAGGCAAGGGGGGGGGGAATCACTGAACCGCAAAAGGGCAATAGCATGCACCAAACCCCCAGGGGGAGAAGATAGTTATTAATTATTAATCATTGGAGTTAATTAAGTTAACAAGGTATGGTAATGGGCTGTTTTGATATATTTTCGTTCTACAACGAGGTATAGTAAATTTAGTATTGCACCTAGTACTATAGGAGTTGACCCTTGGGGGAGGAAGCAAGTCATGAAGTTTAGAATACGGATGAACAAGGGTTTTTGCAAAGGAAACGCATAGGTTATGTCGTCTATCAGACAATTTGTCCAATTGGAATTGGGATAGTGCGTCGTCATACGATAAAAAATTAATACCCAGGATAATTCTACATGCCCTCTTTTGGACTCGCTCGATGCGGGAATCCCAAAGTTGTGTAAGTCCACAATTCCACACAGGAACTGCATATTCTAAAATAGGACGGACTGTACTAATGTAAACAGTGATAAGGTCAACAGGGGGAACACCATGATGTTTAAGGGCTCTTAAAATATATAATTTACTATTAGCCTTTTTGACAATATATTCGAAATCCCATTTAAGATTAGCCTGAAGCATAACTCCAAGAACTTTAACAGTGTCAACTGCTTTCAGAACATGATCATTCAGAGAAATAGATGAAGGAATAAAGTTCCTTTTACTAAAACTAATGTCCATAGTACAACATTTCTTGAGGTTAAGCTTCATACTGCTACCTGAAGCCCAATCATGTAGCGCAGTTGCACATGATTGAAGTTCAGATTGGTTAACAATATTACGATACTCGATTAATGTAAGATCATCGACATATTTGAAATGTTTAACAGGAGCATTTTCAGGGGGGAAGACATTATTAATCATTGCACAAAAAACGACGGGGCCAATTTTGGTCCCTTGACAATACAACTATCAGATAAGTGACCCCTGTACTTGACTTGATAATGTCTGTTGCTGAGAAAGTCAGCAATCCAAGCAACATTGGTAGGTGAAACGTTCATATTTATTAGTCTGAAAACCGCAATCGTATGATCAACTAAGTCGAAGGCTTTTGAAAAATCAGTGAACAAAATGGAAGACACAGTGGAAGGAATTTCAGCATGCCGATATAGCGAGTCCATAAGACTAATTAAGCAATGAGATATAGACACTTTTCGCTGATTCCCAAACTGCATCGGGTCAAGCATGGTATTCATTTCTTTCAATGTATCTCTTGCCACAAAATGTTCCGCATTTTTTGCAAAAAGGTCGGTAAGTGCAATAGGTCGTATATTATCAAGTGTAGCTGGAAGCTTCGGATCCTTAGTGATGGTAACTACATGGGCAAGTTTCCATTCACTGGGCACCTCAAGCGCACGGTAAGACGCATTAATAATACATGATAGAGGTTCGGCCAATTCATATGAGAATGTTTTAATGAATCGAGCAGAAATCATGTCTGGACCACCAGCCTTCCTAGTATTCAGTTTATTGATGATTCTGACGACATCCCATGGTTGAATGTATCGGGGTTCAGCCGCAGGCAAAAACACCGGTACGGATAGTCTGTCTAGTGATTTAAGATTTTTACCTATGCTGCTAAGGTGAGTACAAACAGCGTTAGCAGTCTCCATATGATTGCAATTAGGAACTGTTAATTCTTTCTGTGAAATTTGACCAGTCATAACACGTATATTTTTATACCATTCACTTGGTGAGGATCGTTTGAGATGCTGAATCTTATTAACATAAAATAATTTTTTTTGCTTCTCTAATTAGACGATTAATCTTGTTTCTTAGTTGACGCCAAATGTGATCATGATTGTTTGCGAATGCTTTTTGTCTCTTGGCAAAAAGTGCTTTAATTTGCGATGACATCCACGGTTTATCGGTGGGATGGCGCTTAACAACACGTTTTAAAAAATACTTGTCAATTGATTCATGCAAGGTTTGGTAAAAGTTAGAACACATAGTTTGCATATTGTTCTCGTTATACACTTCCATCCACTAATAATCAAAAAGCCACTGCCCATATGCTCGTAACTTACTGTCCGGCATGGGACAATGTGTTTTCTTATAAAGTTAGATTTCGTAGCAGTTACTTTGGGTTTAAAAAGAACACAATTGTGATCCGATAGTCCAATAGGAGGCAAAATGACAGGGCGCAGATATTTTGAACTAACGTTGGTAAGGATTTTGTCCAAAATTGAACTGCCTCGTGTAGGTTTGTTGACCACTTGTTTAATTGAACTATATAGAACACAGTTCAAGTCGAGGTGGTTGAAATCTCCAACTATACAAATACCACTACCGGGGTGTTTGGACAAAACACTATCAATCGTAGAGCTCAAATGATCAATGAGTTTTTCTGCAACAGGGCTATTGGGCGGATAGTAAATCACACCTACCACAAAACTGGTGACGAACCTGGGTAGACGGTAAGGTCTCACGCTGACCCATAGAGCTTCAATGTCATCTGGTACAAAAATGTCTGTAAGCACCTTGCATTTAATGCTGTTCTTAACATACAGGGCCACACCACCGCCACGTTTATCGGTTCTAGGCCTGGAAAAAGTACAATACCCGTCAATGTTCGAAAGTTCAGGAGGTAAGTTAGCAGGGAACCAAGATTCAGCGATTCCAGCGACGTCGACATTATTGGATTCCAACACAGCACTTAATTCATTAAGTTTGTTATTAAGCGACCTCGGGTTACAAAAGAAAAATGTTGGCAGTTGATCATGACATCCACGGCTACCATTATGATTACAAACAATCTTGATCAAATTACCAGAAATGCAACCTCTGTCGGTATTTGTAAATGTACTCGTAGAAGATCTCAGATGTATACGGGTTGTAATACGCCTCAACTTCTTACGCCCACCCCTACAACCACGGGGTTTAGTGAATGCTATTCCAAGACGGTTCTGTGATTGAAACAAAGCACTAGATGGCTTATGTTATAAATTGCAAAGGCTGAGTAACATCTGCCTCGAATAGTAGTGATGCATTCTAATGTTACGTAATCTCAACTTTGCCTAACAAAAGAAAAATTATATTTTGACTTAACTTTTTAACATTGTCACTTTTTGCACAAAAGTGCTTATCTCGCCGAGTTAAGCACTTAGTGCAAATTTTTGATTTTCCGCCATATTTCGAGTACTTTTCAGAAAAACTTCAAACTTTCAATTATAATAGTGTTTGTTTCAGGCTATCTCACTTTGCCTAACAAAAAAAAATTACATTTTGACTCAACTTTTTAACATTGTCACTTTTTGCACAAAAGTGCTTATCTCGCCGAGTTGAGCTCTTAGTGCAAATTTTTGACTTTCCGCCATACAGTACAGTACAGTACAGTTTTGTTCCTCCCACTGATGCCAGTCACATCCAAGAGGCAGTCTTCTCAGCATCCAAATATATGCTGGGTCCGACTGTTGAAGGGTTTTCTTGACTGAGTTAGCTTCTTAGCTTGACGAGGATCGCACTGAAGGAGATTGCTTAATTTAATCCATGGGTCACGATAGTAAGGTTTTCGGGCTTGTGCAAAGAGCATTCGCTTTGCTAACGAGTTATTTGGTTGTCGGCAAATATGGGCTATATATTTTAGATATTGAACGTGTATAAAGTCTATTAGTGGAGTTGCACCAACAATATTTTCAACATCTTTATTTGAGAATAGGAGATTGAAAACTTCATCTTCTGTAGACTGCTCTCTGTGCCCTGCATC